ATTGCGATCACCCGACCGTCTGCGGGCGCCGTGTGAAGTTGAATCACGGCTACGAGAACGTGCAGACCTAGATGTGGTTCATTTATAAGAAAAAAGTCAAACGAAGGCGGCTTCAGACATTCTTATCGCCACTTTCTCAGCGAAGCCGGTCAATCAGACGTTCCCTTCTGTTCTCGGTAATATTAGCCAGGTAGCAAAAAGACAAGGGCTGGGCGAAAGAGACCAAGCATATAACAAACCGTCAGAAACAGATTCAAGCATACTACAAACCGTCAAAGACATAAGACCATCGCTGGACTTTGTAGCAGCCTCCCGACCGCTACATATTTTCCCATCGAACAGGCTAACAGTTGCCTGCAATTAAAAGTATCAAAACCCAGTATGATCTCAACTTTTATCGAAATTCTACGTTAAATATGAAAATTCGCAAGAACCAAAAGTATAGCAAAACAATGTAACCACGCGACTAACAATACGTCTCCCTCCTAAGGTTTGATTGTCCCGTAACCCAAATAGCTGACGCTAGGCAAGCCAATTTCTGATCCAACTCGGCCCTAGTGCAATAGCAGAGAACGTTCCTAGTCTTTTGGATACCGTACAGGAACAAGATGTAAGGCTCGCCTCTACCAATCAAGTATTTGAGGTACAGCTGTTACCCTACCAACCAACGGTGGCTATCGGACATTCTGTCTGAGATGAAGGCGTTGATACTCACAAATATCAATGTACTCGTAAACCAAGAGAAAACTTCAAGAGAGTTAGTTTGACGAACCCCAACTAACATAAGTGTTAGTCAAGCAGTTCCTAGGAAAACGTAAATCCATTTTTTTAGTTATTCAGCTTCCGGAAGAGAACAGGTGACATCACGAATTTGCCGAAAACTGCTTTTAGAGAATGCGTCTTAGCTGGCAAGCACAAAACATTTTTCGTGAAAATATATTCAGGACGCAAAGTTACCCTACGAAAAAATTCCAAATGGGGAACTAGCAGAATGACTACTTAAGGGTAACTGTATCTCGTTGCTAGGGACGACATAACACAACGCAACTTTTGTGTAAGCGACACCGGACGACTAACAGGAAATGTACGCCAGCTCAATCATTTAGCCTGATAGTCACGTTACACGTGCTTACTGGTTAATGTTAATCTTTGGATTTGTAAATGCCAGTAAAAATAGAAGTGTCGGTGGCAAAACTGAACACATGACGGTGTGCACTTCGATGGCGAGCACAGTAGCTTCTGCATAAATAAAAAACCTCACTAAATCATTCAAGGCAAATATTAATGCTCTTGAAAACCTGAACTAACATCCAACCTAAAAAATTTTCCGTCGCAATACGTGCCTGTCGGAAATGAGCGGTAAAAAATTGGCAAGCAAGGAAACGCACGAGCGGGGAATACAAAAGCGCTCAATGTTACCTTATTTTTCGAGATTGTTGCATCAGCTGCATTTTCCATTGGTAAAATTCTTCCTTGGATAGCAACTTGTCTTTGGGAAACGCGCCACCTTGGATGACATCATCCCCCGCTCTGCTCTGAATGCCAAATAGGGGAGCGACCAGATCCGATGTAGAAGAAAACACACCAGTCTGGCCTAGCAAAGCGTTCTGATCAACGTTATTTAAGTACGGAATATCCCCCTGAGGCCATAGGATACCCGAGGGCATGAGCGAAACGTTGGGATAGACACCAGCGATCTGAGCAAGTGAATTGCTGGTAGCCGCTGGTGCCATGCCAACAAGGCTATTCCCATACATGGCATTAACCAGAGCCGTGTTCTCATTCCCAATAATACTTGGGAGAACAGGCGCATTGACCCTACTGAAAGTGAGATTGGAAGAGGAAATTGGAGCAGTTGACACCACTGAGGTGCCCTGCGCTCCAATCACTGTTGCACAAGGCGCGTCCGCAACACCAGTGGTTGTATTAGAAACAATAGGAAGATTTTTCTTGTTAGGTGAATAATTTTTAACATTGTTAACCAAAGACGGATCGGATTTTGGGGGGAAGGGTAAAGTTCTGGCTCGCATATGATCAAGGGTAGGAGGTTCGGGTAACTGAGCAGAAGTTTCCGGTTTGATGGGCGCCTGCCCCTGGACTGTACCGACTGGGCTTGTGTTGTTTTCGATGGGATTCTGTTGCTCTGGTCCGTTTGAACTCGGTTTAGAGGTGTCCGGCAGAACCGACTGCTTGGGTTTGAGAACGCGGCGAACAACCTTGGAAAGAGTATTATGGAATGGCGGTTATTACCTTCTCGGGTTCAGGAGTACCCGGTTTCAGTTGTTTATCGGGAGAGTTTCCAAAACTGGTTATCTCATTTTGTCCATACATGCGTAGCCACCCACGCACTAGGTTGCGAACAGTCGTGTTTTCAAACACTGTAGTTTCATGTTCATTCAGTGAAGACTTGCAAAATGGACACTGGTGAGAGCCAAGGACTTCGGAGTCGAAGACATGGCCCATAATGCAGTCG